CCCCCCCCCAAAAAAAAAAAACCAACACCGAAACCTAAAGTTGCTCGCAATTGCTACTTATAATTTACGATATTTTGAATTCTCACTCAATAATTAAATGTATAAATAAATAAGAAGCTCGTGTTGTTTTCAGTTGCAACCTATATCCTAAAAACGTTGCAGCCACTTAAAATGCCAGAAAGCTGCTATATAAATATTTGAACCCCCAAAAAAAAACAACAACAACAAACAAAACCGAAACTTAAAGTTGCTCGCAACTGCTACGTATAATTTACCATATTTTGAATTCTCACTCAATAACTAAATGTATAAATAAATAAATAAGAAGCTTTAATCAAACTCGCTAGGAAATTTACGATACTATGTGAGAACGAAACAAAAGTCATTACAACTTAACAAAGGCGAGTTAGATATGGGATCGGCGAACGGACTCGAATTAAGTCCCAACAAAGCAAACCTCGCTCATAAATAACAACTAGAAATTTAGACTACGAAAACATAAAATTTCAATAAAAGTTCTATACTACTAAACAAACAAACAACCCAGTCTCTTGTTCAGGTTGACTGCATGCACATACCAACTTATATAGAAACAAATTCATTTATTAGGAATTTTTTCAGAAAATAATCCTAATCTTAATCTATGCGCTAATACTAACCCTAATATAGTTCAATGAAACTTTGCAACATTTTGTCAAACACACGCGGCTCGGGAAAATAAAGCACATCAAGCACGCAAGAAAGCCATGACCTAGTCAAGAAATTTATAACAAAGAAAAGCTATTTTTAGGCTATGTTATTCATAATTACCTTTTGTAGAATTTGAAGGTTGTTGAATTCTTTCCTGTTAACAATAGTGGCTACCCCGGACAGCGTTTTATTATTAAGTTCGCATAAACCACGATCTTTTCCCGTAGCTTTGTAGTTTACCGAGACGCACTCTTTATCTCTTGAGCAATAAATGGCACATTCAGTCTCGGTGTTTGCCAGCACTGTATGAATCACACTATTGGATAAATATTTTTCACGATGGCGATGAAACAGTGCAATGTGCATGGAACATTTTGCAAATCCTACACTCACAGAAAAGAAAAGGATGTGTTTCAACAAATACATCCTTCACTACGACTTGAAGATTTCGATATGATTCGGTTCCTGTGTTAACATCGGCATATATTATTACCTTCACATTAAATTTATAATTAAAATTATGCAAATGTTGTCTGTTTCAATAGTTAAAGCCATTTATGTAAAGACTATAACGGGCAATGTTTGTATAATATAATATTTTCACGGCACATAGATGGAAATGATTAATTAAGTTTCTTCAAATCTGGTATGACGGAACTTTCTCTAAGCCGCATTTTATTAGTTCTGTGTTGAATAATTAGACGGTTTTAGATAGACCATATGGGCTTAGTAAAAAAATCATTTCAATGACTTCGTTTTGGAATTTGGAATTGTTTTGAAAGTTTTTATATCTTTAGTCACTTTTAACCTGAAGATGGAGATAATTATACTCCGAAACGTAGTCATTAAAATAAACTTTTTACTAAGCCTTACCCTATGGTCTAATTATTCAAACACAGGATTAATTAAGTGTAATATTGTATAAAAAGGACATAATGCATGTCGTTGACTTTGAGTTCACCATTGAGGAAGGGGCTTGCCCCGATACGAATATAGGAGAGATCAAAATGATTTGATACTGATTAAACAAGTTATAGTGAGTCGTTATTTCATGCATGAGAACTTTATTTAATTACAAATTTGTTTCGTATGACAAGAGAAGCTTGCCACATGCAGTAGCCTGCATGCCAGGTGGATTTGATGCGTTATTTGAATGGACCTGCATGATGAATGTGGCAAGCTTCGCTTGTCATATGAAACAAATTTGTAGTTTGATAAAATTCTTATCAAATAACTCGAGTTTGTCTTCTAATCTTATCATATATATGTAGCTCGACCTATGCATTTTTATTCCAAGATATTTTTAAGATAGAGACAATTTATTTTAAGCATTGAGCTCCACCTTTGAATTTATTATAGCCATGAATAAAATGTTAAACACGTCCAAATTTATTTGTACAATAAATCTAATCCCGACTACAAACCCCTAATCCTAACCCTGATCTTATCTTAAACTGAGCCTAATCTATAACCCTAATCTAAACTTGACGATCTTTTTTAAATCTACTGAACCCGGCTGAGTTTTAGAGCGGGACGGATGAGAAAAACTGGCTTGCTCTGAGAGACTCCTCAGCCAATCAGATTGCTATATTTTCAGCGTAAAATAGGCTAAGTAATTGTTTTAATTATCATTCACTACATTACACTCTCATTGCAAACGACAAGTCTAAAGATTAACACATGCAGACCTCCCCACTCCCCCATGCAGTGTTAGCTAAAACTGATCATCTTCAGATTATGCCAATGAACGTTATAGATATTCCACCAAATATTTCAGAAAATTTCCAAAATCAAAATTTACCCGTCGCGCAAAGAAATTTCAAGTAGAAAAGGGTAAGTTGCAGACTTGGTCAACTGTGTTCCGCACATTACTACATCATGCTGATAATAAAAATGTTTTAATTATTCTTTGCTAATAAATTTCATAAAATAACCAATGGTGCATTACATGCATGCACGTCAGTGCAGGATAGAGGCCCTATTAGGGGTTACGGGATACAGGCCAGGATATTTAACGAAAAAATAACAGGGATATTGGATACTGAATGGCAAAATATGCACGGGGACACGGGATACTGGAGTCCGTTGTGTACCAGAAACGACATCATACATTTCGTACATGGGGATACAAGGTCAAATCGTTAAGGGATATTTTATGAAAAAATGAACGGGATACGGGATATCTCTGATAGGGCTTCAGATTGATACAATAAATAACATGAGTTTTTACGCATAAAGCTAGTGTATAGTTTTCGTGACACACCATGCACCCTATCTATAACTGGTTCGACCGCAAAAACTGGTAGCGTATACGCCGGATTTATTATTAGCCCAGTTTTCAGACAATACCAGTATTCAGATAAAATATGATTATTATTTTGTATCTGAACACGGGAGCAGCTGTCTTTCGCATGCAGACGCTGTTCTCTGTAAAAGTTTTAAAAGTCTTCTAGAAATCTTAAATTATAATTATATCTATAGTCAGTGACGTACCGAACCAATCCGCGCGAGACAGTGGGTTGAGGGGTTTTCCGGGAACGAAACTCCCGCGTAATGTTTTTCCTCACTAATGTCGTATATAACTAGTATAACAAAAAGTTAGTGAAATTGCTGCCGTACGTGTATTCGCATTGCAAACTTGCGAAAAAGTTGGCGCCTTGATTACCTTATCCTTATGCTTGACATGAAGGCCTGGTTACCAATCGCGTCTCAACATCAGTACTAGCCAGTACGCTAAGGGCTCGTTCAGACTGAGTGCCCGGCACGGATGCCCAATGTTTAAAATGGTTCACAAAACATGTTGAGCACAGTGCCGTTGTTGAGTACTACCTCTAGAGGTAGTGCCCTTTCTTGGGCACAGTGCCCAATTTCATTTGGAAGCATCATGTTCAAACTAGGCGCCAAAACAAGTGACAGGCACAAGTGCCGGGCACCCAGTCTGGACGCAGCCTAAGAGGCATTCACCCCCTGATAACATTCAAAATGGCGGACCTCCATAAGTGCATTGGGTAGGACCATGGCGTCAGCATTTTGACGACGAATCATGTGGTAGCATTATGTGGCAGCTGCAATACTTTGCAGGTAATCCACAACCAAATTTCAACTGCAATGCTTTGCAGGTAATTCACAACCAAATTTGTTAATTGTTCTGAATATAGTACTAGCCTAATATAGTGATGGGTTGTAGGAGGTATTTGAGTACAGTCGAACCCCTATTAAGCGGACACCTTTGGGACCTCGCCTAAGTGTCCGCCTAAAAGGGGTGTCCGCTTAAAAGGGGTATGTAGAAAAACACAGCAGGAGGCAAAGGTGTGTAATTAGTTGTGTAATTTGAGTATCATCATGACTGGCGGTTCACAGTCCTCCGACCTCGTTCGTCACTTCCTCAATAATCTTGGCTCTGATATCTTCGCGCCAGGTTGGTGTGTCAATGTCAATGTGCCATGTAAATTGATCTCAATTGTTATTTACTGTCGAATATTGAATACATTTTATCAGACAATGTGTCATCTGTCCGCTTAAGAGAGGTTGATTTGCCCATTGGGACCTCCAGAAAGGTGTCCGCGTCCGTTAAAGAGGGGTGTCCGCTTAATAGGGGTTATGATAATAGTATTTTATTAAGGAAACCGAATGGGACCTGAGATATGTGTCCGCTTAAAAGATGTGTCCGCTTAAGAGAGGTGTCCGCTTATAGGGGTTCGACTGTAGTTGTAATGAAATAACTTTGCAACACTCTACCAATAAAAAGTTATATATTTGGCCAGTCTACTAGCCATAGGCTCTCTCTCGCACACACTAT